TGAACCCTAAAGAGGAAAAAATTGAAGGGGTGAGGGACCCCGCCATAAGCGTAAATGCGATGTGTGTAATAAGCATGTGTATACAGAAGGGGGGGGGCGACTATATATATATACAAAAGCCCGAACAGCGATATTCCGAGCATGATTGAGCCTCGGAGAGAGAGAGAGAGAGAGAGAGAGAGCGAGCAAAAAAGAGCGATAGTAGGCGGGGGTGGAGAAGAAAGCGGGAGGCAGGTCATCGACCCGTGCACGTGGAGTACCGCGGCAAAGTAGGCCACGTCGTGACATCACACGGAATCAAAATGGCTGCTCTCTCTCTTTCTCGCGCTTCTTTTTTTTTTTTTTTCTCTCTCTCTCTCCGACTCGTGCGCATCACCCCGCTCGGGTGCTAGCTTTTTTGTTTTTTTTTTTTTATTTTTGTCAACTATTTCTTCCCTCCTCTATCTGTAATACTTACTTCGTCCCCGGCACAATCCAATAAGACCCTCCCTTAAACTTTTTCGTCTAATCTTTACCTCGAAATTTCGTCGCGTACGGATGCTCCTTTTTTTTTTTTTTTTTTTTTTTTTTTTTTTTTTTTTTTTCACAAACATAAAAGTACATAGTACAGTTGTGCCCTTCTGTCCCGTTATAAATATGCTCTCATGTTCATCGCTCGGTTTAGGGAACGAAATTTTATTTTGACCATGTGTGTGTGTGTGTCTATATATATATATATACTGCAAGAGTAGGTATACACACTGATTTTGGTGGGAAACCCCATCTTTCTCCAACTCCCCCGATTTCACCGAAAAAGCCGCGAGATGAAAATTATACCATCGCGACCCCATTCTCGAATTAAAAATAAAACCAAGCACAATGGCACTCGGTTACGTGTACATATATATACATACATTTATGTATATAATACATTAACATAGAGTCGACAGGCACTGCAGCGTAGACGTTTACGTGACGACTCGCTTGCCGGTTATTCCAATTATTCGAGTTATTCCAATTAACGTCGCGCCTCTGCATGACTGACAAAAAATTTCGCTTGTATATACTAGTATCACTTGGTGCGTGTATATATATATATACATATATATACACTAATGGGAAAATAATTCGTTCCCCAGAAAATTCATGTGCAGGTATTTACTTATAACATTAAAATATTGGTATCAATTTTAACGACAAAGTAACGACTTCACAATAACGTCCATGACTCAAACAATCGCTTAGATAACTTGCAAATATTTATTTTAATATTGTAAATTTTTTTTTATATCAAATATATAGTTGAAGCATTTGAATTTCGTGGGGAACGAATTATTTTCCAAAGCACGTGTGCGCGCGCGCTAAAGCTCGGTAACTTTACTATTTAGATAACAATGACTTGTTCCCTAAACGCAATTTGGTGTGTTATTTGGGTAGGTACGTGTGTTTTTAATTGCGTGTGTATGGAATGTCCACTGGTACAAAATAAAAAATAAACTTTCTTACGGACCAAGCTTGTATAATAATTAGGGAAAATCAATGGTCATGCAGGGAATCATTGAGTAAACATTGCACACGTTACCCTGAAAGTATAGACTATATCACCGTTGGATGACTAAAAAAGATAATTACATAGCCCTTGAGCAATTTCGATCGTAGGTACTTTTTTTTTTTATACAGATATTAGATATTCGTTGCTAGTTAACATTACATATAATATATGTATAATATCTGTACTCTTGATTACACGCGCGCATGTTTTATACAGCTACAAGACGACACTAATACATTATCGATGGATTTACATAATAAAATTTTCTATTTTTTGGCTCTCCTTGTACGGTTGGCACGTTATATACGTATGCGAGTGTACGTGTGTAAGTTACGCCGATAATAATTTCGGATATCGCATCCCTGTGTTGCGGTATACACGCGCGTGCGTGATTTTTTTTTCTCTTCGTTCACACACATACATGTGTATACGTATATTATACACTTGCGCGATTATTTTTGTAATCGCAGCTATGAGTATAACGTGCGTATTTTAAAAACATTTACTTTCAAGTTTTTTGCTCGGCCAATAAATTTTTCGATCCAAAGAGTGCCGTTAAATATTCATGACGCGCCCGTTTTGTCGTTGCGTAAGTAATACGTAAATATAGTGTCGAGTGAAAAAAAAAAAAAAAAAAATTGAATGACAATTATTCCGATTTGATAATTGCCAAAAATAGATTTTTTTTCGATTTGAGCTCACCGCGTAATTGAAAACGGAATAGACGTATTAAGGGGCGTTGGTCTAAAAAGCTCATGAATTTAGCCAGTTGTTTCCATTACGTAAGTAGATAAACAGTGGCGGTTGTGGCTCACTTCCCCCCTTTTGCCCCTGACATGCGGCAACCAGGGCCGAGCTGCGGCAAGTATATGCTCGAGAGCGGTCCGACCGAGTAAGCCGAACTGCTGCTGTTACTTGATGGACCGCCGCATGCGCTGCTTGAGTTTTGCGGAATCTTGTGCAGCGTGTGCAAGTGATAGTTGCATACATATACTCGTACATATATTTTTGAGTTTGCGAAATCTTGCTTTCTTCCCATAGAGCATTCCGACGTGCGGAGAGTATACTTAAGCTGCAAATATTATGATATATAGGGCCCTCTCGAGATTAGCTTGAATATGCGAAATCTTGCGCAGCTTGTGCACGCAATGAATGTATACATTTTTGTGTAAGCGAGTGCGTTGCATGATAATGTAGGATGCAGAGCGATTCGCTGCCGATAGCGATGTTAGGTGGACAAAAAAAAAGAGGCTAAAATGTCATTACCAACCGGTATCTTATATACACAGACTTTGAAATATCGCATTTATAGCGGTACGAAGAGCCAATATGCCACGCATTTTTCAAAAATTTATTTATATTTATTCATGAGGCTATTTATTTTACTTTCCGAATCAGAAGATGCGACTTGTTTTTAGCGATGGTCACAACTTTTTTTTTTTTTTTTTTTTTTTGTCAATTTGAAAATGCACGCGGTAAATGCTTTTCAAGGATCAGATGGTCAACTTTTAAATCCTCGAATGGGTTATTATTTTTAATTTTTGTCCGAAATAGTTGAGTACATTGTCAAATGTATTTCTAATCCTTCCTCGATCGCAGTAATAGCCGATCAAACATGTCATTTGAAATGTCCAAAGTTTGACATAATAGGGACTGCCATCAAAAGTCTTGTCACACGGATGAGAAAAATCTTGGCTTTAAACCATGAAAACTTTTGAAACGCTCGTGTTTCTAGTTTTTTGTGATCATTAGACTGCAAAGATTTCTCAACTGTACTTGGACTGTGCTGGTACCGTCGTTATCGGTATTTACTGACGCAGTTAGACTGCTTAATATTTATTTGGCAGGCGTTAATATTTTTCAATTTGCGTTTGGGTGTAAACGGAAAAGATATAATTTTAGAGCCGAATTATTTAACTTTTAAAATAAAAGAAATAAAAAAAAAATAAAATAATAATAATCTCCCTCCTGCGGTGGTAAATACGACTTTTTCCGTTGTTAAGGATAATTTTGGATGTTTTTATACAAATTTTTATTACTTGGACCTCGTAAAACTGGAAGAAGAAAAGAAACTGTCGAAAAGTTATAAATTTTTGGTTGAAGGATTTCCACACAGTGTAGTTTTATTGTAAAAGTAAAAAAGAAAAAAAATGTTTAAGACAAAAATTCTTACATGTGAAAGTGTGATGTATAAAAAAAGAAAAAAAAAATAATAATAAAATAAAATAAATAACCGGGTGATGTTTTGCTTTGTCGTTGCAGGCGAACCCATGCCAGCACCCAATCGTCATACTGAGGGACGTGTCGAGTTCGGACATGGAGTCGTTGTTGCGCTTCATGTATCACGGCGAGGTGCACGTGGGCCAGGAACAGCTGACCGCCTTCATCAAGACGGCCCAGATGCTCCAGGTGCGCGGACTCGCGGATGTGCCCGCCATCACCTCGAAAGTACAGACGGCCACCTCGTCCACGCCTCATAACGCCAGTGCGCCTGTGAGTATTTTTTTTTTTTTTTTTTTTTTTTTTTTTTTGTCTTTTTTTTTCCCTTTATTGTACTTAACGAGTGATCAAACGAGNAGTTAAAAAAGCTAATTACGTACACTCACCATTTTTCTAATTTGTCATTAAAAAAAAAAATGTAATTACTCATTATTTTCTTGCACTTGAAAATTTTCAATTATAGATTACAAATATAATGGGTATTCATTCCTCTATAATTAATATTGCATTTGTTTTTCTGAATTTTTTTTTTTTTATTCGATACTGTTTACAATACAAAACCGAGAAAAAAAATGTTTTTTCCTTAGAAAGCTCAATTAATTTGAAATTTAAATACTTTTTCACGTACCTTGACTTTTATTTCCTAAATTGTTTTTTCTTCCAAATTCTAATGGATTGTTTTTGTTGGACATAATTTTGTTGAGTACTGCGTCGCAAGCAGTAATTCAAAAAAGTTATTTCAACGCAAACAAACGCATCACATTTAAAACAAAACAAAAAAAAAAATTGAAAAATCACCTTCGCACGAATCTTTTTTCACACTCGCAAATTACAATCGCAGTAATCAACTTTATCATATACTTTTGCAATTAGTTTATTTATGTACGTAACGTTTTCTCTTCTTGTTGCGCATCCGTCATCTGCTCTGTGGCATCTCGTAGACGACGCCGCGGAATCTCTGGCAGGACAGCATGAGGAGCGACCTCAACGACAGCGGACTGAGCCCACCGCCCGAAAAGCGGCCCAGGAGTTACTCCCCCTCGCTCGTCAACCACATCGAGGCCAAGTCCGACATCCACGAATCCCTGCTCAGCCAGGCACTCGAGGGCGGACCCACGATACACACGACAGCCTCCGCGAATAATAACCAGGTGAACCTTCTTTCCCTCTAATATCAATATCCCCTCCCTGCCCTCGTTTTTTTTTTTTTTTTTTTTTTTCCTTTCTCTGCAACTTGGCCTATCTGTCACGCACCGCCTATCGGAGCTTGAAATTTTTTTTTTTTTTTTTTTTTTTTCATATTCAACATCCTCCGGAACAAGTGTATTCGACGCAAGAGCTTACTCGCTATTAATTTCTCGTGGCAGAAAAAGATGTATTTTTTTTTTAATCGATCCTTCGTTACTTTGAATGTCGACAGGCTCAGTCGGTGGGGGAGGACTCGAACTCGATATCGGACAACGAGGAGGAGACATTGAACAACGACAGCATGTTGAACTCCGTGAAGACGGAGCCGAGCGAGCTGCTCAACGACTCGCTGGAACACCACCGCAACTCGTTCCCGGCGGCGCTACTCAGCCTCCAAGGTACGTTTTATTCTCCTCCAAAATAGGGTTGGGTCAAGGGATGGAAGCTTCGAGAGAGGGAGTGAAACGTTATTGTCTTTGCAGGCCTGATGCCGGGGCCCTCGGGGATCCACGCGGCGGCCAACGCGGACCCAAACTACGGTGAGTCGTTTGTTTTCGCTTGTTTTCCATGATTTTTTTTTTTTTTTTTTTTTTTTATATCTCACACCCGCAGCCAAACACTTCACTTGAAAATAAATAAACAATAATAAATATGTTCATTCTAACGGTCACAGCCCGAACTAGCATCCTCCCGCCACTCCTCCGTACGTTAATTACAATCTCTGATCTCTCGTTGTTGCGTTGAATGCATGGAACTCTCGTACCTCTCAAAGCCCTTTTTTTTCTCTCTCTCGTTCTTTCAATCAATATTACTTACTGCTGTCATTACTTAAACTTATTATTATTATTATTGTCATTACTATTTTTATTTTTATTATTATTATTATCTATACGCCAAAATTAATATCAATAATCTCCCTTTTAATTTTTACTATTGCTACCGTCGTCTTTACTATACAACTTTGTTTTTTTTTTCTCTCTCCAGTTTTTCTCCCTTTTCATTACCATATTTAAATTCTTCTCTGATATGATTAGCGCCTGATCGAGGCGTTTGAAACTCTAGGCCTGATTTTAAATTGCAATCGGTGTGTAATCCTATACACTTGCATTTTTGTGAAATACCGGAGCTGCAACATGTTTTTATAGTCACGTTGTAAAAAGCACAATAGTTATGGAGCGTTTGTCAGCAGGTGCGTTTAAGTATATCCATACTCTCGAAATTTAAATTGGTGAATATAATATATACCAATGCTTGAGGCTGGCGCAGTCGTGCATGTACAACTAATATATACACATTATACCTAACAAATAAATATAATATACATAATGTCGGAGTGAATTGGCAAAAAAAAAAAAAAAGAAAAAAAGAAAAAAAATTTCCTCAGTGTAAAAATAAAATTATTGTATCTAAAAAGTATACGTAACATACTGTTAAGACTATTATGATAAGCTGATGTGAGTTTCAAACTATATATTTTCGATCGTATGATTAATCATGTAAGATGCTTGTTGTCAAAATTATTATTATTATTATTATTATTATTATCATTATTATTATTTCTTACGCGTCGATGTGTGCTCTTGGCGATCATTTACTGTTGTTATTTTTTGTGAAACGAGATTTCACTACAACTAACGCAGAAAATAATTTACACGGATGGTGAACCTTGTTGCGATTGTGCGAGAAGTTCACTGATTTAAATTTGGGGAGCTCGAAAGGGAAGGAGAAGTAGTAGCGTGAAAAGAGAGAGAGAGAGAGAGAGCCTCGCGGAAAATCGGGAAAAAAGAGAGATAGCGAGTATAATGTAGAAGTAGACTGTGCAAAGGGGAAAGAGAGGGGAAGATAGAGAGAGAGAGAGAGCTTAGTGTTTAAGGAATCGCTCGAGAGCTTGGCTGAGGACTGAAAATTGGCTGGTGGTTCCAGGACGGTGGCAGCCCTCGGGCGGCGAGGGTTCCGGCTCTGGATCCTGTTCCGGCTGGTTGACTGGCAACAGCTCGGCCTCGAGGACCGATGCCGCGGGTCTGCAGCTCCAACAACACCAGCTGCCGCCACACCATCCGGCCACCAGCCAACAGCCTCAGCAGCAGGCCTTTGGCGGCCTCAACCCGGACCAGATCAGCAGCCTCATGCAACAGCAGAAACTCCACAAGCAGCACGCAACGAGCGAACAACAACTAAGCCTGATGCTCCAGTCCTGCGGCAAGAAGAAGATGGAGGAGCTCGCGGTGAACGCCCTGCTCCACCCCTTCCAGCACCAGCTCGACAACGTGGGCAACAGCCGCCAAAGCAAGCCCAAGTGTCCCGAGTGCAGCAAGATATACTCAAATAACTCCAATTTGAAGCAGCACATCGTCAATTGTCACACATTCCATCCCCAGTATATATCCTGCCACGTGTGCTCGAAGCAGTTCAAGACAAAGCAGTACCTACAGATCCACTTGCTCTCGATGCACGGTATCCGCAAGCGCAAGAGTTACCCCGTCTACCAGATGCAGACCCACGCCCAGGCCCAACAGCAGCAGCAGCACCACATACAGTACCAGCATCAGCCGAATCCTCAGCAGCATCAGTCCTCGTCGTCCCTGTGGAACGCGGTGGCGGCCGTGGCCGCGGCCGCCGAGCTGAAGCAACAGCAGCCACAGCAGTGACTTGCCGACTGTCGCCTCTTCTCCATTTTAGCCGGTGCCGGCAGATAAGAGACGCCCGCCCGTTCGCCCACTCTGTGTGTATATAGCTGCAGCCTCCATACGCGGCGGGAGATAGGCGCGCGCCTTGGCCTGCTAGCAAAAGAGAGAGAGAGAGAGAGAGAGAGATAGCAATGGTACATCGTATTGATCTCCGCGCGATTCAACAAACAATGCCTATAAGTGCTCCCGCCACCTTCTCCTGCCTCCCGACGTTCTCCACGCTTCGCCGTCACTCCTTCTATAGATGCTGTCGCCTCGTCTTCCTATGCTGTATACTTACTTCTTCATCGCTAGATGCTTTTCTCCCCCGCTCTCCTTCTCTCTCGGCGTTCCGGAATCGCACTCTACGGAGCTCGAGCAGTTATTTTGAATTGTTTGGTATGGACTCGGGGAACAAGTAGCCCAGTCTGCTGGATCCTTGCTTCGACCGAGGCGAAGGTGTATAGAAGAAAGTGGGACAAACAACATTTTTGGAAGGTGTCCTCGAAGGCCAGTAGATATGGAAAAAAGAGAAAAACGAGGGAAGAAGGAAGATGGGGTCGTACAGGGAATCTGTCGAAACACAATAAGCAGTAAGAAATGGGACAAAAAGGGCCAAGGTGCGGTCTTTTCTGCTGACACACGTACATCAATCAGTATTATGTTCCGCGTGTGCGCGTGGCGTGAGAGAGAGTGTACATATATGTACAAAAGATTGAGGCGCGCGTGCGTGTTACTCGAGATGTGTATGTATAGGCAATCTAAGAGCATCACTTTTGAAATCGAAGCTCCCCGCTTTCTCTCTCTCTGGTAACCCTCTCGTTCCGCCCCACCGTACGGAGCTATAGGCTCAGCTACCCCGTGCTCGAAAGAATAGGTATCTTCCGCACTGGACTGTTAAAAAAGAAGAAAATCAATACAAGTCATTAGCCGGCAAGAAAGCTCCTCTTTCCCCGTTGACCCTTTTTTTTACACACAGCGCCCAGCCTCCTTCCAAAGTTACTCTGGTGGTTGGATTTTCCTCTCTCCTCCTCCGTCCCTTCATTTTTTTGTTTTTACTTCAACACTTAATTCCACGGAAGGAACTTGAATTCCCCGCGACTGTACGGAGGGTGAGTCCCCCTCTTCCCTCCCGTCGCGGCGCTCCGAGGAAACTCACTCGGGGGGGGGTTTAATTAAAACTTTGAGACTTTAATTGAAAGCACCGCGTGTATGCGCGTACAATGCACACCCGCACTAACTGTCTAGAGCGCGAAGCCGAGACGCCGAATCCCTAGCTTCGCGTCTTCCGCTCTTTTGGGCCCCCATTGTACAATATAACCAACGAAAATTCATTCCTCCCTCCGTTTGGAAACTTTTGCCGAGGAAAAAAAAAAAAAAAAAAAAAAAAAAAAAAAAGAAATCCCATCCAAAGAGGATGTCTTTACGCGGTTAATTAGTAAACGTCGGGTACATACATATACACTCGGCTTTGGTCCCCCTGACGGGTGGACATTACCTCACGAAAGAAAGAAGAAGTAGAAAAATCGTCAAATAAATCGGTGCCTGCGTCGTCATTCCCGTTGCGGGAAAAGGTAACGACAAAGAGGCAGAACCACGAGATGGATCTCCTCGAGGGGATGGATGTAATACCGAGCCCCGAAGGGAGGAAGGAGAGAAAAAAAAAAATAACGCAGGCGGCAAAGTCACCGATAAGCCAAGGATAGGTCGGCGAAGACGAATGCACCTCACCGGGGGAAGGTGTGATAGCAGCCCCGGACAAATCGCAGGGGGTCTCGGAGGGATTAGTCCATTCGTTCTTGGACGCGGGTGCGAATTAAACTCAGCTATACGTACGACGGCCCTCGTATACTTTTTCTTTTTTTTCTCTCCACCAAATTCGGAAAATCGAGGCCGACCCTCTCTTACGGATGCAGCGCACGGCCGACGAACCCTCCCTTTCTCCTCTTCCAGCTCCCTGGAAGATTGATTAAGGCTTTCTCTCTCTCTCTCTCTCTCTCTGGCGATGCCAAGTCGTGCAGGCCGAGTTTATTAAAGACGTGACCTGACATAAAGGATCCTCCGCTGGCTCCCGCTCATCTGGACACAATCGATTCCCCCTCCCCTACATACATTTTGTGTATTAGCAGAGGCTCCACGCCCAGGACGCGCGCGCGCGTCTCCCTCGCTGATGGCTTTCCAATTTTTCTTTTTTTACTTTCGAAGGGACGATAACATCTTCTCTCTCCCGGTGTACACGGAATTTGAATTCCTCCCCGACGTGAGCCCGCATCGAGCGACAGGATGGCGATCTCTTGGCACCCCCCTATTTTTACGTATGCGTATAGATAATGCAAAAGATGCGTATACACGTGGGAGAGAGTTTGCTTGGAAAATGGAAAAAGAGGGGGAGGGGGGGGTGATGGGTCAGGATTTTTCCGGAGATTCCGTATCTGTGATGCTTGGGGAGAAGGGTAGCCATTAGGGAGAGAAGGTTTTTCTCGGATAACGCAGAGGGAAGGGGGATGCTCTCGAACGAAACGAGATCATGGGCCGGGGTGGGGATACTCTGTAACCTGCACTGCGGAGGTTCGACCAGAAAAGGAGTGACGAAAGTTTGCGCTTCTCGGACTTTTTGGTCCACGCCGTCCCGAAAGTCTTCGACTTAAAATCTTCGGGGAGGCTGGAGAAGTTTGGAGCTCGATCCTCGTCTTCGTCATTTTTCAGTGCCACTCGTCGCAAGAGCCAGAGAAAATGATGGACGATCGGAGGTGCAGCTGTCTTTTCGGAATAATAAAAGCAAATGAGATTTCATCCGTTACACGATTATTAGATAATTTGCTTTAAGTTTATTGATCCTACTGGTGTTGTTGTCATCGATCGTCGTTAAACCA